CAGTATCCCAACATTTCAAATACTATATAGACAACACAGTAATAATTCTCAAAACAGTCTTAGAGTGCCTTCCCTTTGTTTTGGACATATTTCTATGCTCCATGATGCCTTTCACTAAGCCTCCATCTTCCAAATACACTCAACTCAAGGAGGCCGCTATCCAGTTTTCCCTCTCAAAGGCAAGACCTGCATCCTGACCAGCCACACCACCACGTCTTTCTCCCGCACCTTCCTCTTAAAGAAGCACCTCACCTGGAGCACCGACAAGGACTCGGTAAAGCAGACGGGGCTAGGACGAGCAGCAGTTGCAAGCAATTGATATTTATTTTGGTTATTACAAAAGTATAAGCAACTTTCATGTGATTCCAGACCACCGAGTTGCACACCAAAGTGACTTACTTAGTGCCGTGTTTTCTGCATCAAACTCCTCCTGGCTTGGTTCCTCCTGTTTGTTAATCTTGCCACACCACTTCCACTCAGTCTAGAAACTCTGCAGCTGAATTCAGCTCCAAGCTCAGCAGAAAGCCAACCACAACTGAGGCTTTAGGTGCTAATAATAATAATAATAATAATGATGATGATGCATCAGAGGTAGTCCCTCAGCAAAGTCAGAACATAAAACCCAGATGGCTGCAAAGCTGAGCACCAAGGGTGGAACAGATTTCACCTTCAACACCCCGAAGCTCACAGCTAATGGAGGGACGTGGGCCTCGCCAGGTGGCCATCCACTCCACTGCTCACCCTCCAGACATACCTTGACAGAGAAGCAAGACTTTAGCCATATAAATGCTGTATCGCTATGCTGGCGGAGACAACCTCAGAAATCACAGAAAAGCATCCTCTTTCCCCTTCTGTAACGTAACTTGTATTTCTGTACAGCCACTATTATTAGTTCCATGGGAACTATGTTCACCAGATACCTACCATTTCTGAACCTACATGTCCCTCATCACTGCCATATCTGAGCATCTCATCTCATGTATTTAATTCATGCAACATTCCTGTGAGGTAGGACAAGTGTATTATCTCCCATTTAGCAAAAAACCCGAGAAACAGAAAAGGTACATGTCCAACAGAGGCTGCTACAGAAGACTGGCGGCTTGAGCTGAGATCTTTCAAGTCACGGGCTAATGCCCTAACCATCAGACTGTGTGCCTTTTCAGAGACTTCTCAGCCAGGAAACATGTTTTATGCAAATTTACACCAAGAAACAGCTCTTCAGAGCTGAGACAGAAGAGTTAATGAGACAAGCCTGCAAACTTAATTATATACTTCCCAGTTACCATTCTCTCTCACCAGTTGGGCCCACTTAGTACATCCAACAATGACAACCAGACCAAAAATCCATACTGCATGCACATATATGCTCAGAGAAGACCACTCTAAAACCGCAAACATGTATAAACTCACTCTACTTACGGCTTTTCTGTATCTTAAGACTCTGTCAATCAAGCCCACTTTTAGGTAACTTTTTAAGCGTCTTGACAAGAACAGCATTCCTATCAAATTTAAGTAAAAGCCTGAGATGGAAAATTGAACTGCAAATGCTTAGAAGAGGTTTTTCAATACTTCTAGTACAACACGCATCACCTCTGCTAGTAGTAGAACATCATCTGCTTTCGTTCCAAACCTCTTTAAAACGTAAGTGAAGAAAAAAAGTCACTTCTAAACAGACACCCAATATCAGAAATTCCACCCAGAAACACTGAAGCAGAGTTAAGTTACAAGCTGAGACACAGGGCCTCTAGAAGAGGAACAGCTACCTAACCTTAGCTACAGCTCTGGCTCCATAGTGCACCTAAAATGCTTTTTCAGATCCCTGTTCCTCCCCCACTGCTGGCTCCTGGCAGCTAGAGCTCTGCCTCTTATCACAAAACCTCTCCCAAAACTCAGTTATAGTTTTGTCAGATGAGTATGGGGACTGTTACCAAACTGTTCATTGTCAGTCATTCAGGGTTCATGAGCTGAGCACTAGCTATGAACCACAATCTTCAGACTGCTTCCCTGGTGTTAGCAGTGAGTCATTTTGCTCCCCTCAAGTACAGACAGTACCAATATCAAATGTTCTATCTCCCAGAGAGACTTGTTTACATACTTATTTAAGCCTCCTCTAAATGGCAAAAAGAACATTTTATCATAGACAAGCCACAGGCAAAGTGAAAATATAATTATCAATTTACTTCACTAAACAACATTTGGATTCACATCTTCATCTGAATCATCTGTGTCCTGATTAAGCACTAAATACTGCTAGATTCAAACAAAATTATATGAAAAAATCACACACTGTAATGCAATATAAAACAATCTAAAGGAAGTATCCAGAGAAGGGAAATGAGTTTGAGATCACCTTTTTTGGAGGTAACATTTTCCTAGACAACCAGTGATCATTTTACATAATCTAAGTGCATTCCCACCTAAGCTTAGGGTTAAGAAAGGCACAATGAGCTGTGGGTTAAAAACTCTTCAACACAATCCCCTCATAAAATTAAACCCCGCAATGTGCCAGTACTGAAAATTCAGCTTAGTATACTATGGTATGTATTTGAAGCTGACATTAAAAACAGCCATTTAGAGCTTTATATGCTTATAGGATAAAATGCCCCAAAGCACCTAAGTGTCCAAGAAGCTTGCACTGCATTTCCAAAGGAGACTTTGGCACTCACCAGACTAAGAGGCCTCATACTGCTGCTGCTTCACTCACAGTGTCTGGTTCCTACTTCCCCTTTAAAGGTCACCGACGGCAAAACCTCACTGGTGGTGACACTGACAGGCTACAAATTTGGAGTTTCCTTGTTTAGGATCTTAACGACAATGACTGGCACAACTGGCCTCACAGGACAAGCTGATACATATTCAGCTTAAAAGCCGTATTTTCAGTTCTGCTAAATGCAGTAGCGACCGTAGTTTCCTTATCAGATGGGTAGCTTTTGGAAATGAAGGGATTAAGAAACAAAGAGTAGTGATTAAATATGGTGCTTCTCCTACAAAAAATCCCACAAATCCTACACCTTTTCTAAATGTGGGGCTAAGCAGAACTGGCAGTTTTCCCTATTTTATTCATTTACCTAATCCAGAAGTAGCTGCAATTGCTGTGGCTTTCTCAAACAAACCATGATTCACATTAAAATGACAGGAAAATGATCCCAAAAATGCTCATGTACTCTAAATTTTTGCACTCGTTACATTTTCTGGGTATCCCAGACTGTCATTCAACTGAAGCACTAGACATGTCTGCACTTGCATGGATTTAAAGAACTGAGAACGAGTACTCCCCCTCTGCTACAAAGCACTTTGTTCCACAGACCTACCACTCTTCACTGGAATTAGAACACCACAAACATTGAACTGTTTCTATTTCACAGAGAATATATTATTCTTTTATGAATTTAAATACTTAAATTACTTTATTTTAATTTAAATATCAGTAAGTGTATTTTCTCTGAATGTCTCAAAGCCCTTTGAAATAATAGATTTTAAAAACATCCCCAACTAGTTTATGAGACTTGATTCGAGACAGAAATCAAGGCAAGCGAGTGTGTGCCCAAGGTCACACACCCTGTTCACAACGGCAGGAATAAAAGCAAAGCCCAGACTCCTCAGTCTCAAGCTCTAACACCTCTTCTCTGCTCATCTTCTAGGACCCAGCAGTAAGAGCAGGTCCAACTGGAGTAGTCTCAAGGCACCTAAGTGCTACCTATTCTTCCTCAGCAGTAATAGCTCTTCCTGAAGTGGTTTTGTGACACAACTGCCTAGAGACCACAACCCAACTTACTTTTGATATGAGCTCCCTGAAACCAAGAGGCTGAATTTCAATGATTAGTGCCTAGCTTTTCTATATGCCAGTTCTGTAATGCATACAATGAAACAAAAAGTATTAAAGGGCAAAGGATTTGGAAGGAACTTTGCGATTTCTGTGCTGTAAACACTGTTTAAATACCAATAAATCAGTGACACAGAAGGAAACAAGTTTAAACGTGACAGTTACTGTTTGCATTATATAGACTGCACTGCCGGATTATGTCAAAGCAAAGAATTTGTATCCAAGAGGTATTAGATCTGTACAAACCAGAAAAATACAAAATAGTTTCTGTGGCAACCTGCAGCAATTTGAGGATTTTAAAATTTCCTTTAAAAGAAAAATCTCGTCGCGGTTACACTAAGAAACTGACAAAAGAGATCCAAAGCAGCATTTTAACTCCTGTCCAAAACAATGCTATTGACTTGCATTTGTTTACAATTACAGCAAGCTCTTCTCTATCAGAAACACAAGACCAGCCTCACCGTTTCAAAAGGATAATCCAAGTCTGTGCAGGAACGAAATAAATACCGGGCAATTCAGCGGCAAAAACTACTTAGATGAGCCTAAAAACCCAGCAGAGACACCCCACCACCACACGCGCAAGCGGTACGCTGCCCTCCTGGGACCAGGTGGTGATGGGGAGGCTAACGACAGCATCTGCATCGTCACCGCAGGCAGCACCTGGATAGCCCGTAGAAGGGAGCTAGAAAGGACCTGCAAATCCCCAAGAGTTACCCTCCAGTAGCTCTGAACGATGTCTTTACAGGTCGAGCGAGGAGCCCGGAAGGAAGCACTGCTCCTGCCTGCCGGCCCCGCAGCTGAGCCGGGGCTCGCTCGCTGCAGGGGGTCTGCCCGGGCCCCCGCCCCACC